GTTTTTTTTTTTTTTTTTTTTTTTTTTTTTTGGTGCCACGGATTGAACTCAGTACCTCATGCTTGCCAGGCAGGTGCTGTGCCACTGAGCTAAGTCCCCAGTGCAATTCTGCTTTCTAAAAACAATCAGCAAAAGTAGGAGTTGCTGAAATAATCTGATGAGGTTCTGCTGACGCTTGTATTGTACTATCAAGAGTAACAGTAAAGAGCAGCTGAAGACATAGATTGCAATGACCTAGGCCAATAGAGTTTGGCAGGGTGACAGACTGAGCAGCCCTTTGAGTTATCACAGCATACACTAGCTGTTAGATGGTACTGGGACTACAGGATCAATTCATTACTAGCACCTTTCATTTCTGTAGCTTTCTACTCCTTATATGGCATAGAATCCATGTGAATAAGACTGCTAGGTGTCTTCTGTCATTTTTCAGTGGCAGTTGGCCATGATACACCTGAGCTCTGTTGCTGATATGCTAACCTTACCTGTCATTTGCTTTGTTTTTGAATCACTGAGCCCACATATCTTTTCTTTTTGTTTTTAACATGTGTAATCCAACTCTTGGGTCTGGGCTACCTACCTATTTCTTGCTGATGATGAAAGTTTTAGATTAGTCAGCCTAACTGTCTAGTTTATGTATTCCCAGACAGTCTGGGAGGAAGTAAGCTTACTGGTTTCAGTAGTACAGCAGAAATGGTAGTCCTTCACAGTGTCTTCATCTGCCATAGAACCAGATCTTAGAAACATACACTGCCTATGGTTTTCAGGACAGATGATACTTAACCCACAGCTTACAGTGCAAGAGCCTATAAACAAGTGTTTCTCATTAGTAGTGTTCCCATGAAAGCTTGTGGTTAATTATTGAACCAGTTGTATGGACAAAAGCAATGTGTGTGGTTAAAATTACAGACATTTTAGCACCTGCCAGTGACATTGTTTAAAAATATAAATTCTCCCCTAAGATAGAAGCAATTCAGCAGTTTTTTTAACATAAGCAATTAGGAGATAGTCAAAATACAGCTTTCAATTTCATATACATAACTGAGAGATGTTACTCATTAATGTCTAATGCAATCTACACACAACTAAGTCCCTGTCTTAGCCTATAGGTGAATAAAAATGACTACCTATTAGCAAGTTATTACTTATATAATCACAAAGAACCATTTCTTATTCTTAAGCCTATTGGAATAAAGCCAGTCCTCACTATATAGATAGATACATACATACATATTTGTTATTTCAAAGTTTTTGCAGCATTCTATGTTCCAGTAAAATAAATATCCCATATGTCAAAATGGGAATAAAGGATAGAACCTACATAAACTGGTATAATATGCAGTAAGCATAAAATATTATATAGATCCTCTTGCACTAGAGGGGAACAGAACCATGTTACAACATGAGATAAGTTACAGAAATTATGTCATAATTTTATTTTGAGAAAAATATAATGTATAATATTACAAATTTTTAAAGTTTGAAAAATATATGGTAATAAAAACAGTGGCTATCTCTGAATTTTCCACCAACAGTCTAGTCTGGGAAAATTCCCTCAAGTGTAGGCAGCGTAGCCAGATGTGGTGGTGCAAGCATGTGATCCCAGGACTTGGGAGGCTGAGGCAGGAGGATCTGAGGACAGCCTGGACTACATAGTAAATTCAAGGCCAGTGTGAATTATAGAGCAAGACTCTGTCTCAAAAACAAAAAACAAACAATCAAACAAAAAAGATTTGGGCAGCATGAAGAAAATACATGAAGCTGTAGGAATACCCACATGCCTTTACTATCTCAGCAGTATGGAGAAACACACTATAAAGTTTCACTTCTTTATATATATTACACAAGGCCAGCAAGTTGCTAAATGTTACATAACGGACTACTGTGCTTGTTCACATATTCACTGTGCATGTGCAGGTTACACAACATATGCTGACTCACTAGCAAATGGAAGGGCTAGGCAAAAAGCCTGAGCTTGACTGCCTTGAGTACCCTGACCAAAGTGGTGGGTGGCATCATGACTTTTTTCATTTTTATATTTTTCAGTAATAACTAAATTTTTGGCATTAAGCATGTTCAATCTGCCAAATTAGGGAAAAAAACAGATAGGATGTTAAATTCACAGTCTTTAACTACAAAGCACACACTGTTCTCAATTTAAAGAGAAAACTATCTAGGATTCAACAATCTCAGAATTAATTACTTCTTGATTATACTATCACTTGATATAGAGGAAAAAATGACAGAAAATAGGTGCTACTTATCTATCATGCTGAAGTAAGGACTACAAAATGTTTCCCAATTCCAAAGAAAAGTTTTAGAGCATACATAAATTGATCTTCACACACTGTTATCATTTATGAAGATATTTCATATCTCTTAGATTCCAAATTTTAAAAGTTCAAGTATTAAAGAGACTTTCTTCAAAAGACTGACTTACTTCAAAAAGATAAGTACAAGTCCAGAAAGGTAAGGAATTATGTCATATCATCTGTAGACAGACTTACTTCAATGATAAAATCATGAGACTTTAAAATTGCTTGGCAACATTTTGTCCACAAGATTAATTAAACTTTTTGTTAAAACTCTCTCTCCTATGCCAGTAAATGATGCTCCTTCATTTTCAGTCAGGCATGCATGCTGAGTTATTTTTTTCCTGTATAGTACAGGTGATGGTGTGTGGAGGTGGAGATGAGAGACTTGGAAACACAGATTATTCTTTTCCTTACCATCATTTATACTGGTGCAATTCATGATGGTGGAGAAAAGCTAACTGATATATGTAGTCTCTGACTTTACTAGAAGCATTTTTCTAACTCAGTAGGCCCCTCTCTTATTTATATATTTGCCACACGAACCTTCCTAAAAAACAATTTCCTCACCTGCAAGATAGAGATAATAATAGTACTTATGCTAGGGTATTAACAGGATTAAATGAGATAACTTAGTACCTGGCTTGCTCATATTAATCTTTTAATCAGTGGGAACTGTACATGTGTGTGCGTGCATGAGCACGCACGCGCACGTACACACACACACACACACAACACACACATCCATTAACAAGCCTCAAGTGAAAAGTTGTCCTATTTAAAATGGATATCTATGATTTAGTGTCACAGATAGGTCAAAGTTCTCAGTGTGTGGCCATATGGGTTCATTATCTTTGCTCTTAATAGCTATGGTTTCCCTAAATTTAAATTTCTTTTTCTGAGCCTGAAGTAATATTAAACAAATACCTAACACAGTAGTTAGTCACTTTTGGGACAGGGAGATAAAATGCAAACATATGTTTATAAAAGTCCTTTTTGGATTAAACTATGAAAACAAAGACTTAATAAATTTTATCCGGGAAATCAGAATTTATCAAGGTTCTGACGTTTTATCTATTTCACAAGTCATCATGTGCTTTTTTGCCCTTGGGAAGCAATGCAAATCATTCATAACTATTTATTTTTCTTATTGTCATTTATTGGGTATAGAAATGTTTCTAGACTGCATTCTACTACTTGTCTGTTTAAGATTTCAGCTATCTGGACAGATTTTTTCCCTTGGAGTAGAAAGAGATTATTTCTAGACATTCCAGTCTGGCCTGAATGATGCACCTAGTAAAACTGGTCACTCCTTTTTCCCCCTGATGATAACAAATTTACCAGGCAACCGGATGACTTTTAATTTACTGAGTAGCCTATTTACTGTAAAGAGAAGAGGGCTTGTTATCAAAATCAGAATCTGTTTCTCATGTTGGTCACAGGTCTTTCTGTTCAAAAGTAGGCCTGATCTATTTCTTGAATACCGAGTATATGCCTGGCATAACTTTAAAACGATTAAGAGGCATGTACTATGTAGGAAGTGTGGCCTTTTTGTTAAAAATTAGTCAGATGGAGATTTGTTAAGGATTCCTTTGTACCTTGCTGTAGCGCTTGCTTCAATTCAGTTTGCTAACCTAGATTATACTGGATCCCCTAATGTTACAATGCAAAGTCCTAGCCCTTTGCCTCAGGATATTCTCACTCAAGGGGGAGTAGCATACAATAACAATATAGTGATAGTAAGTGCTATGATTAGGGGTATACTCTTTAGGAGCAAAGAAAAGGAATACGCAGCCAAGCCTTGGGAGAGGCATCTCTGGGAAGGCTTCCTATGGAACTGTAATGTTGTCTATCAAAGGCTGAGGAGGAAAAATATATGACAGAAAAA